GAAGGAAGGAAGGAAGGAAGGGGTATCAATATCGCTCGCTCGCTCGCTCGCTTGACTCTGCGCCATCATACCGGTATCCATAAAGCAAAGGAGACCAAAGGAAAGGAAAGGAAAGGAAAGGAAAGGAAAACCCAAACCCAAACCGCCCACACGCCCCACGAAACATCCTCGAACGCAGAACTGCGTGCAGCAACCACAGCAGCCTCTCTTCACCGCCTCAGACTCTCGATACTCTCCCGTTTTCTCTCGGGCGCCTTGTCCTTCAAACCCGCGAGCGGCATCCCGGTGCTCGTCCGCCGGCTCAGATCCACCGGGGTCACCGGGGTCACGGGGGTCCTCGGACTCCTCGGGCTGTCACTGTATTTCCTCTTTGGGAGACTGCCGGCATCGGCCGGGCTCTGCGCGCTATCGCTTGATCGTCTCTTGAGGCTGCCCGACATGCTGCTGCTGCTGCTGCTGGTTTGGAGGGGCGTCACTCGGGGGAGGGGGCGCGCGGGGTCAGCCGTATCGCCTGATCTCCTCTTGAGGATCCCCGGCGGGATGTTGGTCCTGATCGGCATTAGTCTGGGTGGCGCCGAGTAGACGGGTGGCGTGAAGGTCGGTGCCGTGTTCACGACGCCGCCGAACTTGACCGTGTTTAATCTCTGCGCGATCTCGGTTGTGGGAGAAGCAGGGCTATTCTTGCTGCTCGTACTGCGCGAGTTTGATTTCTGCGCTGTGTCGGTCGTGGGAGAGATAGGGCTGCTCTTGCTGCTCGTACTGCGCGAGTTTGATTTCTGCGCTGTGTCGGTCGTGGGAGAGATAGGGCTATTCTTGCTGCTCGTACTACTACGCGAGGCGGATCTCTTGTAATGCGCAAGCGACTCGGCGGACCGCTTATCGTAGGCATCGAGCTGGTGGCTCGTTTCGCTGATGATGCGCTGGATAGCCAGAGCCCCATCCTTGCGAATCGCATGAGGAGTCCTCGCACTCGAAACTGCACCTGAACCTGAACCTGAACCTGAACCTGAACCCGAACCTGAGCTTGACGGCCGACTCCCGCCCACGCCACCCATCTCAATGTCGCCGTCCGCGGTCAAGGCCACCGAGCCAGTTTCTGATCTGCGTCGGCCGGCCTGGATCTGGTAGTCGAGTTTGTCTGCCCCCTCGGGGGCTTTGGTGCTCAGGCTCTTCCACACGACGGCTTCCTCCGCCCTCCTCTGGGCTCTCTGGTCCTCGTCTTCGGACTCATTGCCGAAGTCGCCGTCGTCGCCGCCGTGCGACTGAGAGAGTTCTGATTTTGCGTTGACGACGACTCGGTCGATCAGGTGCTGCGCCACGGACACCATGTTCCCTCGGACGATGGCCTGCTGGGCCGTGACATGCTCCACCGTCCTCTGCAGCCTCTGGGCATGGTCGAGGACGGGCTGCGGGCCGCGCTCGAAGCCTCTGAGGGGGATGAAGATGGCGCGGCTGAGGTTCAGAGCGGATGGCTGTTTAAATTGTTAGTTAATGTAGACATCCGCGTTGCAGCATATGTATGCATCCGCAATTTTGGGTGAGGGGAAGAAATATAATTCATCACGTTTTCGCGCCAGATTTGATGTCGAAGTGAGGACGAGGTGGGGGGGGGGGTAAGACAAGATGAATATTCAGAATGGATGGGTGGATGGGTGGATGAGCTACCGGTACCAGTAGCTTACCTGGACTTGGACGGGCACTTCCTCCGGCTGCTCCGCCGGCCCCGAGGGATCCCCTCCCGTGGCCATCGATGTGACGCGTCTCTACGCGTTCCGGGGCTTTTCGGTGGCGAGCAGGAATGCGGCCAGGGGTGGTCGGGTCGGCTGTCCGGGTGAAGGCCGTACGTAATACGAGAGTCAAAAATATCGCGTTGAGCCGTGACCGTCTCAGGAACGTGTGGAGGTTGGGGGCTTGAACGCTCAGGCGCCGCGGGATGATGGGATTTGCCTTTGCGAGCCGAGCATCTGCCTCTGCGCGGCAAGCGCGGGCACGACCGACGTGGTGGATGTACGGTACGACGTATGTACTGTGTATATATATATATATATATATATATATATAAATTTATGTAGATATGTATACAAGTATGTCAATATATATATAATCCATCTCTTTGTTGCCACTATCCTTCCAAGTTCCTTACAGCAAGCACATCTTCAACTCCCCTTCGCGTTCCCCTTTCACTGTAAACAAATAAACAAACATATCAACCACCCATACCGCTACTGTAGCAGCTCACCAAACTACTACCGGTACGTACCTACCTATTACAACCTACCTACCTAATCTCCCCTCTCCACCTCGGACGCATCTACAAACTCAACTTACTTACGGGACTAGTAGATTCTTACTCGGCTCAAAGATAAACTCCGTCCCCGTCCCCGTAAGTCAGTCAGTCAGTCTGTGCTCCCCCCCCCTCCCCCGCCTCGTATCGAGAAACAACGATAAGTAAAACCCACCCAACCCCCCATCCCGTCCTCCGTAGTCGAATCAAATCAGATCAAACCAAAGCGAAGCAAACCAAATTTAATCCTCCAAGTACGTATCCGTGCGAGAGAAAAAGGAGGGGCGGCGGGGTTGAAGGTGGAAGGAAGGTGGGATGTAGGTAATGGAGCATAAGTACCGTAAAGTACCGTACCGTACCGTACCGTACTTATACTTCCCATGCTCACACACACGCACACACGCACACACACACATATATAAAAATTACATATAAATAGGCAAAGGAGCGAGCAGCGTTGAAGAAAACCGGTACCTATACCACCGCTCTTTGCAACCCTCCCCCAAAACCAAACGTCCGTACACGCATCGACAGATCTCCAGCCCCTCCAGAAACATTCAACTATCCCAGCTGTTCAAGATGCCTTCAGGTGGATGCTTCTGTAACAAGGTATGCCGAGCGAGTTTTTTCTTTTCTCCTCTCTTTTCTTCTCTTCTCTTCTCCGAGAAGACTGCAGAGAGCCCGGTGCGGTGGTTCAAGGTCGGCGGTGGGGTGTGGTATGGTGTGGTATGGTGTGGATTGGGAAGTATACATGTAGACACATATATACCTACATACATACATACATACATACATACATCTACGTACATACATACTAACGACGACGTCGCCATCCAGGTCCGAGTCGAGTTCGACGGCGAGCCCGACGCTCAAGTCCTCTGCCACTGCCAGGACTGCCGGAAGATGGGAGGCGCAAGCTACAGCAACAACGTCATGATCGGAATGGACAAGTTCAAGGTCCAAGGTAGGTATTTACACACAAGACAGAGAAGAACGAGAGCAAGACAAGACGGGATTCACTGCCCTGCCCACCCGCCTCCTTCCCTTCCCTTCCCTTCCCTTCCCTTCCCTCCGCCCGTCGTCGCCCAAAACCTGTAATGAGGAGTAGCCAAACCAACTCTGACAAGAACCACCTACCCAGGCACCACAAAGGAATACTCCAAGATAGCCGACAGTGGCAACAAGATCACCTCGCACTTCTGCCCCGAGTGCGGAACGACCGTGTACCGTGAGGGCGCCTCCTTTCCCAACGCGGTCATCATCAAGGTTGGCGTTCTCGACGGGGACTGGGTGGAGAAGAATCCGCCCAAGGGAGAACTCTATGCCCCGAAGCGGCTGGCCTGGGTTGCTCCCGTTGAGGGCGCCGCCCAGATTAATGCCATGTCGTAGATGTCTGGGACGGGGTCTGGATGGGATTATTGTAAATAGTTTCCGACGAATCCAAGCCGGTGGTGAATGCCATGGCCATCCCGCTCCGGTCGATGAAGTATGGTGAGCATGTTCGTCGAGGTCCATCCCATAGGCCTATATATAGGCTTCTCTGCCTCTTCTCCATTACCGGACTACCAATTCCCTGCCGTTGATTGGGCTCGCACAGCAGCTGATACCGCCGATGCCGTGTTCCTAAAGTCGTCCCCTATCCGTGTGATATATGGCGGTGCTCGAAAAGTAAATCGCCCCTAAAAGGTGTTTCGTGACAAGTCGACAAGTATTCTTCCATGTCGTCCAACATCGAGCCTCATCTGGCCGGTAGTATTTTCCCGATGTATTCCCTCCCGATCCTCAACCCCTCCCTCACTAAATCTTCTATCCTTCTGTCCCGCCTCTTCCTCATATACAGCAGCACGATACCCAACAGCACCAGATCCACAAGGCAGTGTCTGACAGCCATCCACAATATCCAACCGACCCAGCTCTTAAACGACCGACTCTTCTTCCCCTGATATTCCCGGCCCGTAGAAATTTGCTCTCGCAATGCGGCAATCTCAGCCGTCATCTTGACAAGTGCGTGCTCAACCGTCTTTCGCCACCTCTTCGTGCCCTTCTCATTCCCCCCCTCCCTCTCTTTATCATCCTCATCCTCATCGTCGTCATAAACATCGTTGAACCCCGACTTCCTCTCCGCCTCGTCGTCCTGGCTCATCGGGCTAATCACCCTCATGGGTCCATCGCCGCCCGATACCAATTGCTGCGGCGGTCTCGGCCGTGTCGTGTACGAAGGCACGCCTCTGCCAGGAGAAGAGCCCGAGGAAGAAGCCGTGTTATTCTTAATCTGATCCCACACAAACTCCAGCTCATCAACCAACGCTCTCGCATCACTATCCGCGCATTAGCCCTCCCCCCATCCCACTACTCCCAAACCCACCACTCCCAAACCCAACTCCGAGGAGGTAACTCACGCAGTCGTACTAGCATAGCGATGCATCGTCTCAATCAACGCCTCGATATACCTCCTCTTAGCCTCCGTCCGGCTAATCCCCCGCTGCGCATCCCACGCGTCGTACTTATCCCTATCCTTCTTGACATCGTCCGGCTCCTCCTCGCCATCCACGCTCGCCGGCCGCGCCATCACCCCGTCGACGTCCCCCTCCATCGCCTGCTTGTAGAGGCCATAGAGCCGGAGTCGGTCGGCGGGCGGCGGCCGCGACGCGCCCGTCTTGGGGATCTTCTTGACCGTGTTGAGCGCATGTACAAAGACTCTGTCTTTTCGAGCACGAGGATTAGCTTCTTTCTTTTGCTCCTTCTCACTTGGGGGGCTGGCCATGGTGTATGTATAGGTATACGTTCGATGGAGAGAGGGAGAGAGGGAGGAGAGAGGGGGGAGGGGGGGGGCCAAGCATACCCACTGAGTCCGCCATCGTATCGCCCTGCCCTGGGAGACACTCACGACGGGAAATCTGATCGAGGAATGGATGCCGAGGCGGAAAGCGCTACTGTATCGACTCTCTCTGCTCGCGTGTTGTTGTCGGTCCTCGCGACCAGCATGTGTGCCAGACAAGTAAATGTTGTAGCAGGGTAGCCGGAAGGGAAAGCGACGAGACGGTGTGCAGTGTGGGATTTATGGGCGAATGGTACATGATAGAATTTGTGGTCGATCTGATGCGCTGTATCTTTTGACGGATGGAAATTAAGCCCCTACCTTCTCATGGGCATCATTGGCCTGCACGCGCGTGCTGGGCCTCGGTCTGCAGGGATCGTATTAGGGCTGCCGGGAAGCCCGAGCGAGGGGCCGCTACATAGGAGTGGAGGGGTTTGTTTACTTGCAATTCGGGTCGCTGGTTTTGAAAGTCTTGCTACAGTCAGGCAGGCAGGCAGGCAGGCAGGCAGGCAGATAGGTAGTTGTACGAATGCCAGGGCCTTGTGCCACTTGAGTGTAGTCAGGGTCCAGATGGCCATCAGTAAGTAGTTCAAGGGAGGGAGCGAGAAGAGAAATCGTCTGGATCTGTCCTGGGTAGGCTTCTTGTTCAGCAACAGAATATCCAACCTTGAGAAGATTGGTATGGAAAATGATATGCTGTAAGCTTCCTGCAAACATTACTCGCGCGACACCTGCCAGAAACCGAGTCGTGCGAGGCGTTCTGGAAGGTCACATCTCGCAATTCTTAATTGCTGGCTCACTCTCACACTATGATTACATGATAAAGAGTCAGAGCAAAGGATCGACCCCTATCCCTTGTCTCTTCGACGGCAGATTTGTACGAATTAGACTGCAGAGCTCTCCAAGCTCCCCTGCCTTCGTAAATGGGTATCATGGCAAGAACAAAACACAGGTCGACAATAAAAAGCCAACGCCAGCTGCTCATATTCAAGAACCACCCCGGTCCAGAAGGGCAGCAGCCTCCACCTGCAACTGTGCCTCGACCAACTTCTTCTTTTCGATGTATACCTGCATCAGTTTCTTGTTCAGTAGAGCGTTGGAAGCAGCTTTCGCACCCGCGTCCTTCTTGCCTCCAGCCTTTCCAATACCCAGCATCTTTCCCCTCTCTCCAAGTCCGGTGAGATACACGCCAACTGTGAATATGGGCAATTTTGTATTGGGGTCCTTCTTCTCCGGTCCTGCATCCTTGTACTCAAGCTTGACTCCCTTCACACCCAGCAATTTTTGCAACTTGTCTTTCGGGGTAGAGAGGTCCAGAGCATCCGCTTTGACCACTGCGTCGTCCGTAGCTGCCAACTTGCTGCGCAGTTTCCACAGCGGGCTGTCCAGCTTCAGACCATTCCTCTCCTCCTCGATAATGTCCTTCACGAGCACCATTCCCCAGAGATCCTTGAGCCATTCCGCGGCCGTCTTCAAACCATGCGCTGGATCGGACAGGATGACTGCCGCAACGTAGGCTTCGAAAACATCACCCAGTACCTTGCGTCGGTCTTCGGGCTGACCTGGCTTGACTGGTGGCATTCGGAGGCGTTTATCGAATCCGTAGTATACTGAGAGCTCGGCCAGTGTGGAGTTCTTGACCAGTCTCTCGCGAAGTTGTGAGCATTTGCCTGGTCCGAGGTTAGGGAAAGTTTGGGATATGAGAAGCGTTGCGAAGAGCTCGATGTATGCGTCGCCGACCCATTCGAGACGTTCGTAATTCAGTTCTGTGGGCTTGCCATTGGTACTACCTTGATGGATGAATGAGGACTCTTCAAGGGTTGGGTCGAGCACTTTCGGGAGAGGAGGCCGCTCTCTGGCTATCGTGGAAGACTTCCAGGGTTCGACGAATAGGGCAGAATAGTTATTGCTTGGGGGGGTTGGAACACTGAAGAAATCATGTGATCTTTGCTCTCGAAGTAATGGCCCGGCAGATGAGGCTTCGATTATAGATCTAGCTGCGCCGAGGGATGTTCGTAGATCTAGGCAGCGACTGAGGGTTTCATTTCCAAGCAGATCCAACGTGTGATCCATTCCATCTTCCTCCAGTGCTTCATCGAGTGCTCTGATGAGATTGGCAATCTTTCGAGACTGAGCTGGGGTTGATGAGACATCTGAAGGACGTGAAGAATCGAGTCTCGTTCTTTCCATGGATTTGGATATCCGCGATGCTTCTCCGTAGTGGCTCTGATATTGTGAGAATGTGCACTGGGGACACCAAAGGAGAAGAACTTACGTTGTGATTCTTCTGTTTCTTGTGTCGGTCCTCAGACCCGGCACCCTCATCGTGCTTCCTCTTATGTCGGTTAAACAAGTTCTGCATCTCAATCAGTTTTGCAAAATATGATGAGACAATCTCCAAATATTTCGGAGATGGTTGAATTTCTATAGCGGCCCAGGAGGCGGAACAACTATTTCCCGAAGCGGCTCCAGAGATTGACGTCGGAGAAAGCCAGAGGATGTCAGTAGCAACGATTGCAACGCAGTTTCAGTCAAAATGTCTATTCCTCGTGCCCGGATACTGGACCTAATGAAGGTGAGTGCTAGCAATGATTGAAAATTGACCGCGCGAATGCTTATAGGTCCAGGTCCAAAGCAGAATCTTTTCTACAACCTTCAACCCAGAAGGACTCCGACTAGGGAACAGCGTTCTCCGGGAACGATTGAAAGGCCCTGCGCTGGCAGCATATTATCCGCGGAGAGTGGCTACGATTAAGGATCTGCAGAAGCTATACGCCCCTGATTTTGAGACGTGGGATGATGCAGAGGAGGACCGATTTGAGAAGATCAAGATGTTCGTGGTGTTCTACAGTAGCTGGCAGATAGATTCTAACAACTTTCAAGCACTAAAGCGAGAGGAAAGGGTGCACCAAAGAAGAAGAGGACGGCAGAAGGTGCGGCTGGAGATCTTTGGGTCTTGTTCATTACTAACATCGGGTTGCAGAATCGAAGAAGTTCAAGGGCAAGAAGCGGTAGAGGGATGGAATTGTATAGATGGGCGGAAGTGTACGACGTACTACATATGTGTAGCATTACTGGCGTCCCGGAGGAAGCATTCAGACTTCAGACGGCTGTCAGAATTCATGAAAATGGACCACAAATCAAGACAGATGGTTGCCATGCCCTCGAGATGTCTATGCTGTGGATTGAAAGAAAAGCAAGCTTCCAGGTAGGTGTAAAGGGATGCTGCTCGAATCTGTAAGCCGGCCTTCAATGGAGCCTATGCTTATGGAAGGAAGCACTCTGCCAGGTCTAGAACTTGCAGTGTAGAGAGCTCTCATCCCCCTTTCTTCCCTGCGTAAAGCTCCTTCATACCTGCATATTACTTCCTGCGCTCCATTTTGTCCTTTCTCTCTGATGCCGGCGCTGTAATCTGCTTGATTGGCTTGTAATTCAGCATTGTCTACATAGGAATATGCATCCAAAGCATTATCAGGTACTTCAATGTCCTGGTGAATCTATGCCATGAACATATGTCTTATATTGTCCTGGAACATGAAGAGATGCTGCTGCTTTGTTGAGTGCCCGGGCTTATTCAATCTCAGATGTGCAGAAGCATCCTTACCGATTCTCTTCCTTCATTCACTACCAAGCTCAAATTTCCATCGGCAATATTCTCTCCTTATCTGCTCTATGCATTCAATCATCATGCTTTCATACCCCGGTCTCGTGATTTATAGACTAGTTGATTTTGAAAAAGTCGGCTAATCCTCTCGACCAGTTCATAAAGAGCCTCGTCAACCTCGAACGTGCTTTCTTCCTCCTACACCATCACCAACCTTCGATCTCTTCGACTTTCAGGTCTTCACCGTCAACACATCAAATACCAGCAATCTGCAGAGGAAAGCGCGCTTCAGTGTTCCTTCTCCATATAATTGCCCTGTGCTACGACTCCTATTTGATTTGTTGATTCCGACCACCTCCAGTTCCCATCCTTTCTACCCTCAAATCTACTTCACCCACCTACGCAAGAGTTGAGGACTTCCGCTGGCCATCTTCCTTGGACTACATACGCAGTATCATCTGCTTCCTCGACAGCTCCATTTGGACAAGACTCGAGACTCGTCAATCAGGATGTCTGCCACCGCTTCGACTGGCTCTCCGATCCTTCGTAGGGGAGGTAGCAGCAGCAGAGCCGACTCTTCTCAGGAGAATCATAGCTCCGCTGAAGAGTCCTTGGCCCACTTGACCGCCCGCTTGGTACGTTTCTTCCTCCCTATTTTTTGGCATTCACCTCTCAGCCGTGTTGCGAGGCTGCTCTCTTCTCATCTTCGCGCGTGCCAACACCCCAACGCGTCTCTCCCTCTCCACCAAACGAAAAGCAAAACCACAACACAACACAACTACTCCACCCCGCGACAAATTACTTCACGAAACGCCCAGAAGCCTTCGTTCGCCCATGCATACTGATCAGTACGCACAGGACCCCACCACCGTCTCCCTCAAGAAGACCGCCACTGCGCTTACCTCGACCAAGCTCGGCAACCAAGCTGGCCCCAAGGTACATAGGCCTCCTCTTGACTTACTTGAACCGTCCACGGCTAATTTGTGCAGAAGGTGAAGGTCAACCACGATTCTTCTCCCTCCAACGAAGTCAACCCAATGGACAAGCTACTTGCCAAGCTCTCCGAGCAACAAGCCACCCTCTCCAAGCAGCATGAGGCTCTCAAGTCTACTGACGAGACCGTGCTTTTCCGAACTGTCGAATACGCCTCTGCCCAGGGTTCCGTTCCCATCACTCCTGCCACCGAGTCCTACAACAACAGCACGGCCCCCACCACAAGCCCACCAAGTGTTGCTGGCGATAATCAGCCTCAGAGCGCTGCAGAACTCGCTCGGCTGAAGGCTGAGCTTGAGGCCGCACGCGGAAAGATTGCTCGCATGGACCAGGAGCTTGCACAAACTCGTATCACCAAGCACACCCTCGACCAAGCTATCGGTAACACCTCGGAGGCTGACTACACGTCGATCCTTTCCACCGAAGATCACTTCCAACTTCCGCCTGTCAACCGCCCACAATACACCAGAGATAGCTCTTGGGCTGCTCAAGACGACAACCGATCTGACACCAGTGACGCTCTCTCTGCCAGCGGCTTCAACAGAGCACGTGCAATCTGGAATAACGGCGGCAAGCCAAACTTCGTTGGTCCCAACACAGCCTTCACTTCGGTCCCAGGCCCCTTGCCAGGCTCCTTCCAACCATCCGAAAGCATGGCTGCCAGTCAATGGAACCGACGCGGCTACGGCCAACCTTTCGTTGAGTCGATGCCCTACGGCCCTGGCCCAGCCAACGCTTACAGCGGTGATCGTATGATGCAGGACCCCGATTTGCTTATGGCTCCTCCAATGGGTCGACGCAACCAACCCAGTGGTGGTCGATTCAACAACAGAAGCAGTAACTCCTTCCCTTACGCCAGTAGCAACAGCTCCTTCGATGGCTACACTCCTGCCTCAACCGCATACGGCTCCATTGCTAACCTGCCTGGTGGCCTTCCCAACTTGGGCGGCGGCATGGGTGGTATGGGTGGCATGAATGGCATGGGCATGAACATGTACAGCGCATACCAGCCACAGCCAATTGGCACTCCTCTATCCCCTCACGCACCCGAGTTCACCGCCTCTAGTGCTGGATGGAAGAGTGAGGTAGGTCACTTCTCCAACCCATCTGCTCCCTCTTACCCTTACTAACATTTGCAGTCTCCCGCTCCTGAGGGTCAAACCTACCTTCCAACCACTGAGCCTCTCAACTATCGTCGTCTTCTTGACCGCACCGTCAACTGCAACTGGAAGTATATTGTGGACAAGATTGTTTGCAATAACGACCAGCAAGCCTCCATTTTCCTTCAGCAGAAGCTCAAGGTCGGTACGACTGAGCAGAAGTATGATATTGTTGAGGCAATCGTTGCTCAGGCCTATCCATTGATGGTCAACCGCTTCGGAAACTTCTTGGTTCAACGCTGTTTCGAGCACGGAACTCCGGAGCAAGTCATCAAGATCGCCGAGGCCATTCGAGGCAATACCCTAAACCTCTCCATGGATGCTTTCGGCTGCCATGTCGTTCAGAAGGCATTCGACTCTGTCCCTGAGGACTACAAGGCCATTATGGTTCATGAGCTCCTTCGTCGTATCCCGGAGACCGTCATCCACCGCTATGCTTGCCACGTTTGGCAAAAGCTCTTCGAGCTTCGCTGGACCGAGTCTCCTCCCCAAATCATGAAGTACGTCAACGACGCTCTTCATGGCATGTGGCACGAGGTTGCTCTTGGTGAGACTGGTAGCTTGGTCGTTCAGAATATCTTTGAGAACTGCCTCGAGGAGGACAAGGTAAGAGCATCTACGTTCCTCAGTGCACTTAAGTTCTACTAACTTCGCTCTAGCGACCATGCATTGAGGAGGTCCTTGGTAGCATTGACATCGTTGCTCATGGTCAATTCGGCAACTGGTGCATCCAGCACATCTGCGAGCATGGTGCCCCAGCTGACCGCAGCCGCGCCATTGACCATGTCATCCGTTATGCCTCCGAGTACAGTATGGATCAATTCGCCTCCAAGGTCGTTGAGAAGTGCCTTAAGATTGGTGGTCCCGACTTTCTCAGCCGCTACCTCGATCGGGTCTGCGAGGGTCGTCATGATCGTCCTCGTATCCCATTGATCGACATCGCCAGCGACCAATATGGTAACTACCTCATCCAGTACATCTTGACCCACTCCAACCCTCAACACCGCGAGCTTGTTGCTAGCCACATCCGCAAGCACATGGTCTCTCTCCGTGGATCCAAGTTTGGCTCTCGTGTCGGTATGCTCTGCACCAACCCTGCCATCCAGACTCGCCCTGGCCCTGGCGTTGGTCCTGCCATTGGTCCTCCACCTCGCATGGGTCCTGGCCCTCAATCAGGCCCTCGCTATGGTGGTGGATATCGTTAAGCAGCATCCTCACGGCTTCTGGTATGCTTACATGCTCGGCTGGATTGACCTTTACGATCTTTACTTGGCACACGATATCGCGGAAACACCATAAGGATACGACATATTCAATTGGAGTCTTCCTTGTTGCTTTTGGTCTTTCACATCTATGGATGTCGTCAATTGGCTCTACTCATCCAGAGAAAGTCACCTCAGGCATTGTTTGTCTACACCGTGTTGCCACACAAAGATTTTTCTTACGAGTCCACGATATTTCCTTCTTGTACTTCATCAGATTTTCGCCGGCAACCTACTCACCAATACTGGTCATCCTACGCCGGAGATTACGTCCTCGGTGCTTTGGAAACATCATGGTTACGGCTTTTGCATCAAGCTGGTCTGGAGAGAGTCATTGCTGTCCTTGTGACGGCTTTGCTGTTTCGTTTCCACTGGAGTCATTGCCTTGTGTATGTATACCGGAGTCTTCTACTATTTTCTTGCCTTCCATAGGGGTTCAGCGCTTACACGGAGTGTGTATCATTTCTGCTTTTGAGCGGACATTGATTTGGTGGAGAGAAGACTGCTATTATGCTGAGATGTCTCATCGTGCCTCTGCGCTTGTACCCAAACAAAAATTCCAGAAACGAAACCCAGAAGCAAAAGCTTTGTGATTTAATCTCGTTACCGAATACAAATTGCTTTTCATAATTGTTGTGCCTTGCAAAATGAGATGGCGGCTTGGAAGTGAAACAGTAGCATTTTGGGACAAGTACCTGCCAAACGCACCTTGAGACTAATATGTATTTTCAATTTTTTCAATGAGGCCACCCTCCTTGCTTTCCCGTTGAACTGAAGTAAGAAAAATGAACTGTCTTCTGGGATACCTCGGATCTGAGGTGTCCGTCCGGCTGCACTCCGATTTCCAAGTCAAGATGGAATTCAAGATTCAGCATCAAGTCACGGCTATGGGAGGATGGGTGGAGAGTACACCGATGAACAGAGAAAGGACGTGTGGATGAGTAGATAATGTACGCTTTCTCATTTCTTCTCAAGGGTATTTATGTTATCTTGTGTCATGAGGCGTGTTCAAATAGCAAACGATAGCTCCAAATGCAACGCAATGTGACGCCGTGTAATAGTGATGTTTGTTGTTGGTGGTGCCCGTTCCCCATTCCCATGCCCAGCTCCGAGTAGACCCGCCATACCGTGAGAGCCCAGCCCAGCAATACCAAGCGACGGCCCTGCTCCCCGTGTTTGGAAAATGAAGAAAGAAGTGAACTTCGGCTCTGTCCTGAGCCAAGACTATCTGTCTGGATGGTGATGTTTTGGATGTGAGCGAGTGCATCATCAAACCATCTGCTCGTGCATGTTCATGTCGAAGTCGGTAAAAAAGTTCTGCAAGTCAACGCCAGTCCGCCGTGCCGTAGTACCCGTCACCCCACACGGGGCGACACCGAGATCCATCCCACCCAGCGCCTTCCGTCCCACCCTAGACACCTTCCGGATACACCTGCTTGATCTCGGGTAAGTCTCTCTCGTCTCCAAAGCAACCGGGCCCCTTGCCCTGTATGATCTCCTCCGGCACGTCCTTCTCCCACGGCTTGCGGCGCTTCGGCAGCACGGGCGGCGTCGCATTCTCCCATCCGATCACGCGCTCCGAGACCTCGATGTAGCCGGGGATCTCCTTGCCGGCCTGGATCATGGCCACGATCTCGGCGAAGGAGGCCGGGTAGGGCGCGCCGGGGTTGGGGGGGCCGGTGCCGGCGGGTACGAAGCCCGTCGCTGAGTTGTTCATGGATGAGGGATCGGTGGGCGTAGAGGAGACGGCCATCTTGGGGTCGTTGGAGGCGCCTGTGGGGGTGGTGGTGTCGTTGGCTGGAGGGGGGGCTGAGGGTGCAGTGGAAGTTGAGGAGGTGAGTGTTGTGGTTTGGTTTGATGTTGAGGGCTCCTTTCGGGCGAGGTAGGCTTTGTAGGCGTCGAAATCAATAGAGATTCCCTTTTGGCGGGAGAGGTAGAAGCATTGGGCCCGGAGGGTCAGGTCTTCTAGCTGTGAAGGTGAGGGATTGGGACCGAGGATTGCTGAGAGGCCGCCCTTTGGGAGAGAGAGTAAGTATTGGTGTTGAACAAGAGAAGGGGATATTCTCAAAGCAAGAGAGGAGGTGTTCAAGTTTATATGGTATTGGGTATCAAGTATTCAGGAGCATTCACTGCCTTTGGCAAGCCAATATCAAATACACGACGAGCCGAGGCTGGTGGTGACTTGAAGAGACCAAAGTAAACAAGCTGCTATTCACATACCTGGAATTTCCTATCCGAATCCCAAGGGTAGTTCTCCAGCTCCTCGAAGATGCTTTGTGAATCTCCAGTGATTGCTGGTTCGGTTGCCATGTTTCCCATGCAATGTAGACTTTGGGCTGGGGAATTATATCATGTAGTGGCTTATAGCTTGTTGGGTCACATAGGTAGAAGAGAGCTGCTGTATTCCGACCTTATCGCACCTCCCCCCGCCTCCACCATACTGGCCTGATATTTCAGGCCGCATTCCCAGCCATCTTTCGCCTTTAGCTCAGATGCGACGATCCACTCATTCACTCCACATTTTGACCGCAAAGCCTCTTCTTCCTTCTTCATAACAACCGACCACCCTCTCTACCTTCGACCTTCCACCTTCCACCCTCCACCCTCCACCCTTCACCCTCCACCCTGCGCATCTCCCTCAATCTACAATCTCTCTCTTCTACCGCTTCATACCCTCCATACCTCCATACCCAGCATACTTCGAGCTCCCTGTGAGCTGATCGCAGAACCAGAGCAAGATGGCGGAATTCTTAGGGTCAGTCAGTTCATTGAGGCGCAGGTCGCGATCTCGCGACCGCCATGACCACTCCATGCTAACGCGGGCTGGCGAACAGGGCGAGGATATCTCTGGTCTCACGGAGTGACATTCGGTACGATTCAAGCGCGTAATACCCTCTGCGACGCGACGGCAGCTAACCAGGAATCAAGATATGTCGGAACTCTCCACGAAATCAACTCCGAGAACTCCACCGTCGCACTTGAAAACGTCTCCTCATTTGGCACCGAGAATCGCAAGGAGAACCCTGACGACTACATCCCACCGTCCGACAGCGTCTACGAATACATTGTGTTCCGCGGCAGTGATGTGAAGGATTTGAGGATCGAGCAGACCCCCGCCGTGAAGGAGAACAAGCCCCCGCAGGTCCCCAATGACCCTGCCATTCTTGGTGTAAGTGCGCATATTCTTTGGGTTGCTCCTCAAGCTACGCGCCTGTCGCCGGGTGCTCTGAATGATGAAAGAATTTCGGATGTTAAATCATATGATCTCCGAGAGCGCAAAACCATGTGGATATTTTCCGTTGCCTTCCTTCTGACTTGATAAGCTTGCTGCTCTCTCAATGTGCAAATCCTGTTGAAGCAATTCATTAACAACCCTTTTTTTCTTCACAGAGCGGATCTCGCCCAACTCGTCAATCGCAGTCCAAGCCTCTCCAGACTCAACGCCAGGCATCTCAAGGTCCCCCGCAACAAAGCCAAGGTCAAGCTCCACAGCCAAATCAAGGCCCTCCTCCTCCTCCCTTCGGTCAGCAACCACATTACCCGCCATTCTACCCTCCACCACCTGCTGGATGGGGTCGCGGTGGTCCACCTCCGCCTGTCCCTGGTGGCTTCCCCCCAATGCCATACGGTGCACCTCCTGGATGGTACCCCGGACCTCAAGGCTTCCCTCCTGGGCCTTTCCCCCTTTACGGTTACCCACCAGTATCTCCCGGTCAGTTCCAACAGCCTCCTCAAAATCAACCCCCAAAGCCGGCTCCAATCGGTCCCAGCGCAAACAAGCAACCTTCGCCTCCTGCCCAGACCCCAACCGAGAACCCTGTTGATCCCAAAGACTTGGCAAAACCCGTTCCCGAAGTCGCTGCTCCGGCAGTCAAGGCTCCATCCCCGCCAACGGCCACGAAACCATCTCCCCGCGAAGTCCAGGCTGCTATCGAACAGCCGTCTACCGCTGAAGCTGCTGAGGTGACCGAGGCTAAAGGTGCTCTTGGCTCAAAAACCAACAACCGTGTCACCCCCGCCATTCCATTGCAGAGCCCGGCGTTCCAAAAGGCGCCCTTGCAACGACCAGCTAGCAATGTTCCGCGTAAGTTTAGTGATGCGGAAGCTAACTTGCGTGATGCTACTCAAGCTGCGACCGCTGCTGTAGCTGCCGCCATGGCAAAACTCCCTACTGGTGGCCAAATGAACGGCAACGGTGTTGACAACTTGACAAAGAAAGTCAACGAGATGAGAGTGAACGATGCCATTCGCGCACCAAGACTTCCGGGAGCTGGTGGTACTGGCTTCGCTGCGAACAGAGGGGTCCGAGGTGGACGAGGTGGGGCTAGAAACACAGAAAAGAAGGTCGAGGTTCCCGAGTCGGATTTCGACTTCGAATCAGCAAATGCCAAATTCAACAAGCAAGACTTGATCAAGGAGGCAATCGCAGGCTCCCCTGTCTCCTCGCCAACCGAGCCAGATACCCCCGCTGCACCCGCGGGTGGCTACAACAAGGCTTCGTCCTTCTTTGATGACATTTCTTCCGAGAGTAAGGATCGTATGGAAGCTAACGGCACAAGACCTGGTGGGCGAGAGTGGCGAGGTGAAGAGCAGAAGAAGAACGTCGAGACTTTTGGTCAGGGTAGCGTTGATAACGGCTACCGTGGCGGCTTCCGGGGACGGGGACGTGGTCGTGGAGGCTCAAGAGGAGGTCGTGGCTACAGCGGCAACGGTCAGCCAGGACGTGGACGTGGGGGATATCGTGGCCGTGGGGATTCACAGGCAGCCGCGTAAACCACTTTCGGCGAATCCATTGGACTCCAGGACGAAATCGAATTTCTGCGGGTGTAACAAAACCATTCAACGATCTCGTAATTTCGGCTCTCTGCGGGTCATAAAAAAGCTATATCCGGACATTCATAATCTTTGCTATCACCGCATTGGGAGATTGGATGGTGCGGCTTTATGTGTGTATCTTTTTTTTTTCTTTCCTTTTACAATTGTATCACCAGGATCACGACTCCATCAGCAGCGAAACGGACGTTTACGAAGCATGCATGACCAGGTACTCTCTTGGCTTGGAGTAGGCGAACGAAGCGACTTGATCTTGATGCCCAGGGGCCAAAAGCATAGCGGATCCTAAAATTTCCGGTTTTGAAGGTGGTTGAGGCTGATACCTGGCTATGGAGTTGGGCAGTGGGGAACTGGCTAGCTACTTACGAGATACTTGCATTTTGCTTTTCAGAGCGCTTACTGGATCCCTCTGTGGACGAGATAGATAGGCTGGCAGATGGAATAGACGCGGAAGATAATTAGTATTGGGGATGTGTTTTGGAGTTGACCAGCGACTAGATACGGCAGTGCTCGTCTCAAATTAAGAAACTCCAGACCACTTTCTACCGTTTGTTATTTTCGAAAAGCAACAGACAGTGGTGTATAAGATGTCTTTAAAAGGTAGTAGTCGTAAACAATCGGTAGGACCTACCTATGGGCTAGGCTGGGTTGTATTCCACCGTTTGTCTATTGTTTACTTACCCCTGATATTTCTCGCTTGTTGCATGCGTGTTTACGAATTTACTAACCCCCCCCCTCCCCTTCCAACCCCCCTCAACTTGATTCGAGTGCCTGGCCTTTTCTTTTCTTTTCTTAACGTACCGCCATCCATCCATCCATCCATCCACCCATCCGCATCATCTACCATAATATACCATCATCTACCAACCAATACCAATTTATCACGCCCTGCTATCTTATCCCATGCCATACTATGCCATGCCGTGCATCCCGTGCGCGAAGTTGATGTCGATGTCGAAGTCGAAGCGTAGAGCGTAGAGCGTAGAGCGTAGAGCGTAGGTCCTTCTTTCCTTCTTATATATGTATATCTATTATTATTGATGAGTAACGATTAACGAATAACGAACGAACGAACGTCTCCTTCGCTTTTTCTCTCCCTCCTGGGTACTTGTTATCTTTATCTTTGCTGTAAAAAAAAAAAAAAAAAAAAAAAAAAAAAAAAGGTAGCCATTGCGGATTTAGGTGAGTGATGATAATAGTGATAGTGATAATGATAGTGATAGTAATAGCTGTGGCTATGGTGATGGTGATAGTTCTAGTGATAAAGTATAAAGTAAGAAAGACGCGAGCTAGTTGATGATTAATGATTGATTAGCGCTTAGTATTGTGTTCAATGCTTAATGCTCCATGTGCCCTCTTACACACAAGGTGCTTCTTCCTCTCGAGCTGGTCTCGTCCTGATGAGCTAGCTGGTTAGCTAGCTAGTCTCTCGTTACTAAGACTCGTTACTGAGGCTCGTTAATTTTCATCATTTGATTCGGGGATTTTTTTTCTTTTTTTCTTTTTTCAAAGCTTAGGAATATAATCTATAATCGCCGATTACGGAGTAAGATACAAGCAAGCAAGCAAGCCATCCATCCATCCATCCATCCATCCATCCATTCATTCATTCAATTTCTAAGGATTGAGCGGCGGATCGGTTGCGGAAAAGGGGGTATTCCATCCATCTCCTCCTCGCGAAACGGGTATATATATATTTACTACTACTAATAATCATGATCATCGTCATGGAATAACATGACGGGACAGGACATGGAAATTCCAGTACCGTCCGTCCGTCCTTCCTTCCTTCCTTCTTACTACGAGCCTACGAAGAGCAGCTACACTGCATAGCTCTATCGCTCCTCGGCACGTCGCCACAGAACCTCTCCTCTTCCTTCTCGTCCCACCCCCAGCTCTCCTCGAATGGGTTCAGCGCCATGTGCATCACCCGGTCGAGGATCTCTCTCTCGCCGCCCTTCTCCACGCGCCTGATGAGCTCATCCAGGATCCAGCTCTTGGGGATGAATTTCGGGTTCACCTTCTTCATCGCCGCCTGTCGGGCGGCGTCATCATCGTCTTTTTCGCCGTTCGCGCCCCAGTCTTCCGCGACTCTCGCGCGCCATTTCTGCAGCCACGCGGAGATTCTGGCGCGGGCCGATTCGTCCGTGTTGCCGAGTCCCGTCACGCCCTCGTGGTGGAAGAAGACGCCCGCCTTCTCCTTTCGCTGCTCTTCGGTTTCGAGATCGGCGACGTGGAGATGGCCGAGCTTGCGGAAGAATTGGTTAAAGTCCAGTTCTAGGGCTTCCATGGTATCCAGTAGCTCACTGAACAATTCGTCAAAGTCGGACTGCTTATGTACTTTCAGACCGAGGCGAGCAGTCATGAGACGCTTGTATTCTTGTAGGAAGACAGCTTTGAATTCCTCGCCCGTGCGGGTGATGAGGGCCTCGGCTCTTGAGATCAGCGCGTCTGCGTCCTCTTGCTGGACTCCTTTTGCGACAAATTCTTCTGCGTCGACGCCCTCTCCAATACCCATCAACTCGCCCAGGGACTCGCCGAGCCTAACCAGGTTCCACCAGATGATCGTAGGCTGCGCCCTGTAAGAGTAGCGAAGCATGTAATCATCGTGATTGGGTGTGTAATTGGGGTCAAAGTTGTCCAGAAATGCAAAAGGACCAAAGTCGACGGACAGGCCAAATATAGATGTGTTGTCCGTGTTCAAGACACCGTTGGTGAAAGCGTATGCTTGCCATGCTGCTACCGTTTTGGCGTTGCGTCGTACAATTTCGCGATAGAGGCGTGTAAAGCGGTTCTCCTCGAGGCCAGCAGGACCTTCAATGGTGTCTCTCGCAACACCTGTTGGCAATTGACTGCCATCGTTACCAGTTTCTGACGGATTCCTCGCTGGCAGTGATTCCCATCCATCGAACACGTTTTCCGCAATATAAGTAGACAGTTGCCGAATCAGATCTCTTTCTCCGCGAGCTCGTAAAATATCGAAAGTACCAATCCGTAACCAAGACTGGGCAAATCGAGCAACAATGGCCCCAGGCTCCAAAGTCTCTCGGCGGACTTTCGAATGCGGAAGTAGCGTCAACGAAAGAGCGCGAGTCGTAGGTATGTTCAGGGCATTAAGAGCTTCCGAGACGATATATTCTCTGATACTGGATCTCAGAACAGCCTTCCCATCTGCAAATCTGGAATACGGGGTAATCCCAGCCCCCTTCAACTGCAACTCGTATCTAGTGTTCGTGATCGGACTCGTCGTCTCGAACAGAGAGATGGCTCTCCCATCGCCCAGCTGTCCCGCCCAGGACCCAAATTGCCACCCTCCGTAGCACTGTGCCCAAGGGTACCCGCCCTGTCCCTTCTCAGCATCCCATCCCAGCAGCCTATTGCCCGCAACAGTCTCCTTGAACTCGTCTGTCTTCTGGTCCCCCTCCCTGATTCCCAGATCCCGCATAGCGGCCGGACTCACGCTCAAGAGCTCTGGCTCTCTCGCCTCCTCTGGTCGGACCCACGTAAACAATGCGCCTCTGACCTGCCTCGGCTCTATCTCGCCTCGGGCTGTCTTGTGCGATACATCGGGCGTGGGGAATTTCGGATCGGGAGGGAGAGAAGATGTGAAGGTCCATGATTTTGGCAGTTCTGCAAGAGATGCGCCTACGGAGTCGTTGGAGAGATGGGACGCCATTTGGGCGAGGCGCATGCGGGGTACCACAGGTCGCGAGAAGACTTTCGAAAGCATAAACGGAGGATGGAAGTGAGGTTGATGGTTTTGACGATTCACAGATGGGGAGGATTGGGTCAGCGTGGTTGAAGGAGGCGTAGTAAAGTGCCGGAAAGAAGAATGTTGAGATCTGCTTGCTTGCTTGCTTTGCTTTGATGCCGAGGTTTGTGGTCGAGTCGAGTGGCGGTCGCTGAAAGAAGTCACCGCTCTCGGCTCTTCTCTGGCAATTTTCACCCCTGCGACTTTGCCTGATGGAGGTCGTGGGCCTTCCGTATCAGGAATTTCGTATGTGGAGTATTATAAGGCCGAGGCCGAAGGCGGAACCGAAGCCGAAAACCTATTTTCCTCCGTCATTAGTAATTGCCTCATATTTCGAAGACGTCAGATCCACTGCATACATTCATGATTATTTCACCGTCTTGATTCTTACCTATAAAAGCCATCCCCGCCCCCCACCCCTCTGCTCGCTTTCGACAGTCAGTAAGCAATTAGCAATTCAACTCAGCTCTATCTTAATTTAACTACACTTCCAAAAACCTCACTCTGCAGAATGGCTTCTATTACATCACTTAGCGGTGCAACCCGCAAATTGAATGATGGAAGCGTGGTTCCTTTTGTATGTTATAAGCTATAGTATCAACACTTGGTACATCCCTTCCTTCTTTTGATAACCAGCCAGCTCACACATTCTCAGCTCGGCTATGGAACTGGAACGGCCCACTACAAAGCTGATCCCAACTCCCCTGTCGACCAAGAGCTAGTCAAGACTGTAGTCAAGGCTATCAAGGCTGGTTACTACCACCTGGACGGAGCCGAAGGTCAGTTCCCTTCTCAAACCCAACGATCAAGATCCGACGATTTCGGCTTCCCTCAAACCTGTGAACACTGGACGACTCTACCTGACAATCTACTGACACATCCCCAGTCTACGGCAACGAAACCGAGCTTGGCCTCGCCATCAAAGAAGCCGGCGTCCCCCGGGACCAGCTCTACGTAACCACCAAGATCCACGGCGAGAAAGCCCAAGACACCCAGGCCGCCTTCGAGCTCTCCCTCAAGAAGCTCGGCCTGGACTACGTCGACCAGTACCTCATCCACGCGCCCTTCTTCGCCAAATCCGAAGCCGAGCTGCAGGCCAAGTGGGCCGACATGGAAGCCATCCACGCCTCGGGGCGAGCCAAGTCCATCGGCGTCTCCAACTTCCGCAAGTACGAAGTCGAGGCCATCTTAAAGACGGCCAAGGTCGTGCCGGCCATCAACCAGATCGAGTTCCACCCGTATCTGCAGCACGGGGACTTACTCCCTTTTCTGAAGAGCAAGGGCATTGCTGCGAGTGCGTACTCGCCGTTGACCGCTGTGACGAAGGGGCCGGGGCCGGTTGATGCGGTCTACAAGAAATTGGCGGAGAAGTATGGTGTCACACCGGGGGAGATTGCGCTGAGATGGTAAGCCGATTCCCAGCTCGTCGTTCTCGAGAGCTCTGTGGCAGTCTCCAGACCCGAGGCTCGGTGTTGCGAGATCATGTGCTAACATTGGTGATGCACAGGGTCATCGACCAAGACGTTATAGCCATCACCACAAGCTCCAACGTCGACCGTCTCACGCAATACAAGAAGGTCGCCAACTTCAAGCTGACCCCCGAGGAGGTTGCCGAGATCAGCAAGGAGGGCTTGAAGAAGAACCTCCGCGTTTGGTGGACTCATGTCATCCCTGAGACCGATCTGGATTAAGCGAGGGGTGTGCACGACGTAAAAATAGACACGATCTGGCCCTGCTCCAGCTACGCGCTTCTGATGCCTTAGACGAACTGATGAGATAGATCTTAGACTTGGAATACATACATACATTCCATAACCAACTGACGAGTATCCTGATTTCCAAAAGGTAGTCACCCTCCTTCATTGTCTCGCCTCGCTCATTTCTCGTGACGTGGGTGGTTCAGGGGCGGAGAAGTTGATGATCATAACAGCAATAATAATAATAATAATAATAATAATAATAATAATAATAATAATAATAATAATAATAATTAATGATGATGATGATAATGATGATGCTAGCAATACACAGCTAACTCACGTGGTTTCTCTCCTCCATTTGTAAATTAGCAGTGACAGATAGAGAGATAGATGGATAGATGGGTGTTGACGAGATGGTTTGGGTCCTTCAATCTTACTACTAAGAGTTGGGGGAGTAAATAAGTAAATAAGTAAATAAGTAAATAAGTAAATAAGTAAATAAGTAAATAAGTAAATAAGTAAATAAGTAAATAAGTAATCAAGGAAGATATAATAGATAGAATAGACAGATCCACGTAAAATTCCCCACGCGCATTTCATTTGCTTATGGTGAGGGGAAAGCTACGTGCAGGAAAAGTAAAACGCAGATATAGCAATCGTGTCGCTCTCTTACTTTTGAAAACGTGTATGTATGGTATGTATGTATGTATGTATGTATGTATGTATATATGTATATACATAGCGATACATACCTCGCTAACCCTCTGTCTTACCGTATCCACTGCTTTGATTGACGTTCCCTCGTTTCTCACTGTTGTTTACTACATGAGTAGGTAAGTAAGTACTAGCTCCTACCACGGATTTGGCGAGGTCTTAAGTAGAGATGGGATGCGACGGAAGGCAAAGTCGACTTTCTTTTTGAATGGCTTTGATTTGGGGATGTTTCGAATCCGGAGTCTATGGACTCTGCTGAGGAGGGTCGGGAAGGTGGGTTGTAGGCAAGTAAGGCATCTATCTAGTTGGTAGTTGGTACTTTTCGTTGCAGAGGAGGAAGATCTCGCTTATCCTCTTCGGGCCGTGTTCGTTAGGGCTAGTAAAGGTAAAGGTGGTGAAAGTGAAGGTGAAGGTGAAGGTCGAGGTGAATATGATATTAAGACATTCAATTATAAATCAGGCAGGAGCAGCCGAAAACCGACATCGTGCTTATCGATCTGAACACCTCGAGACCTTCTTTCCCCCACGACCGTGTCACAAGCTTGATTGAGCCTCCATCAAATCTCGGGAAAAACGAAAGAAAACAAAACAGAGAGCACAACACACCAAGACACCCTCAACTACCATGTCAACCTCACAGCCCAGAAGAAATAGCCGCGTCTTCGACAAGCCTGTCCGCGTCGTCGCCGCCAACCAAGCAGGACCCGCCAGAAGCTCCCTCGCGAATCCCAGAAACATGATCGTCGAGAAAGGAGGCCTGTGCTACCTCGCGAGAGATATCACGTACCGCGGAAACGGGGTGTTCCAACAGGGAAACCTCATGCCGCATACCATTGTCGTCTCGATCCACGGCGTGTGCATGACGGGTCGCGGCACCACCGAGGCGCGAGCCACATATGGTGTCTACGTGGGCGACGGATCGGAACACAACGAGGGCGGCGAGCTTCCCGAGACGGAGAAGCAGACGGCGCAGGTTGCGCCTCTGTACGCGGTCAAGCGGGCCATCGAGATCGTCGAGGATCAGATCATGATGGCGCCGGATCCCGTCGAGTTGAAGACGGTGATCATCAAGACGCACACGACGTTCCTGATCAACTGTCTGAGCTGCGACGTCTGGGAGTGGGAGAGGAATGACTACCAGAACTCGGAGGGCTTCGAGGTCACCAACCGCCTGCTGATCGAGAAGGTGCACGACATGCTGCTGGAGGCCAAGCGGGAGCGGGGGCTGCGCATCAAGTTCTGGTCGGTCGACGCGGAAGAGAACTTTGAGGCCTTCTACCTGGCATACATCCCGTTCGAGAAGCGAGTCACCATTGCCGAGCCCGAGCCGCGGCCGAGCGAGTTGGAGCAAGCCGTGATGTACTACATGTTCGAGGCGCCCATGGACCCTACCGCTCAGGCGTTGAGCGTCCGTCTTGATATCAACCTCCCGAGCACGGCACCCGACGGCCGCCGGAACTTTCCCGGCGTCACGGCCCCGATCCGACGTCTGGTCATCATGGGCGAAGACCGCCCGCGCAACTTCGAGCGCTTGTTCGGAGCGACATGGAAGGCTCTCGCTCTGCAGGAGTGGCGCGCGCTGCGGCACGAGGTTTTGACGGTGCCCGAGTCGGAACGCAGCCCGGCGGCCCAGATGTTGGATCGGGGGACCCCGTACTACCGACCCCGAGCCCCGACGACGGAGGAGAAGAGATGGCAGGATCAGAGAGAAGCTGAGCAGCGACAAGAGGTCGAGCGACAGCAGGATGTCAATGTCACCATTACACTTGCCGACCTCATGAACCTCGCACTGAGTGGTCGTACGTAGCAGCTACTGATCCGCTCTTGTAGTGTGGATCGACTGACAATTTTCGAGTAGAAGACGCTTGCTGAACGGAGGGAGAAAGACTGGTGACGGCGCGTGTATTGAATGTACTCAAGCTAGATGGGGCAGAGAGCATTGCTGATGGTCGTGGGTCTATCTCGTTTCCCACGTGTGGAGAATGGACCTGCAGTTCGAGGGCATTAGGAAGTACAGTACCCTAGATTAGAAGCTTTTGACCGTGAGGCCTGTCTGCGAACTGACAAGGAGAATCAGATAATGTAGAGACAACAACTTGTGCAAGATGTTCTCTCCCCGATGAACGTGATGTCAAGAGTCGATCCGCTACCAGAGACACGTCAAGCACAGTGTCATTATGCAGGTAAAGGAGAGCACGATCAGTTCATGAGTTGATATACTTGTATAGCTATGAAAGTCAAAATCCCTACATGGCGACCGCAGAGATATACTCAGCGTGTAAACACCTTCAACTCCATGACATGCCACCGTCCGCATACCATGCATGGGCTTGGAGCCTCCATCCATCCCCCCAGCCACCCGTCCATTCCCTCCCCGTATGCCTCCCATCCCTCCCATCATCATCCATAAGGCCAATTCGAAAGAGTAAACATGTGGCGCCGGCGGTAAGTTGCGCATTCGTTGAGCTTTTTGTGTACTCTCATTTGCATCCATTCCAGCGCCCCAACAAAAAGGATGCTCTAGAGCACAAGATAGAGGAGAACTCGAAAGAGTAGCAAGCCATCTCTCACCCGCAAAGGCTTTTCGACAGCTTGCCCGAGTCCACCCACAATAAAACGTGCGCAATACAATTTAAATGGAGAAGAAGAAGAAAAAGAAAAAGAGAAGAAAGTCCGGGAAGGATTTTGTTTATGTAGTGGAATGCTGACATAAGTTGGCGCTAGTGGGTCCAGCGGGAAATGGCCAATCAGGCGGGAGGTAAGGCAAATGACCGGCAGGGCAAGGAAGTATGGGAGAGAGAGAGAGAAAGAGGGAGCTTCCTGACCATCTTCAAGATTTCCGATTGTTTTGCCCCCACCCACCCGTGCCACCCAGCCTCCCACGGACCGGTGTTGACTTTTCTTCTTCCTTCTTCTCCCTTCGCCTTTTTTCACTTCTGTTGACGAGAGGACACCATGCTGCGCAATTCCCTGGCGCGGTCGGCGGCGCTGCGGACGAGCAGGCCGAGCTCGAGTGCCGCGAGGACATTTGCGACGTCGGGCAGGAGACAGGCGGAGGTCCAACTGACGATTGGTAAGGCGCATGGGGCCCGCGGGCGGGGTGCAGTGGGAAGTGGCTAATTGCTGTGGCAGATGGCAAGCAGGTCTCGATCGAAGGTATGTGGTGGTGTTTTTGTTGATGGATCGCCGTGATCCTGGTGGGATGGATGGTAGTTGACGGTGGCCACAGCGGGCTCTGCTCTCATCCAAGCGTGCGAGAAGGCGGGAGTGACAATTCCGAGGTGAGCATGGAGAGAGAGAGATATATATATATATATCGCAGCTCGAAGCACATTGACTGACGGATTCCAGATACTGCTACCATGAGTGAGTCTTGTGCCACCACCGACCGAATCTCGGCTGATCCATAGCCCAGAAAACTCATGATTGCGGGAAACTGTCGAATGTGCCTGGTAGAAGTCGAGAGGGCCCCGAAACCCGTGGCATCGTGCGCGTGGCCCGTCCAACCGGGAATGGTCGTCAAGACCAACTCGGCCCTGGCACACAAGGCTCGGGAAGGAGTGATGGAATTTCTGCTGGCCAACCACCCCCTCGACTGCCCGATTTGCGACCAAGGAGGCGAATGTGATTTGCAAGACCAGTCGATGAGATACGGAGCCGACAGAGGTCGATTCCACGAGATTGGCGGCAAGCGTGCCACTGAGGACAAGAACATCGGTCCCCTGATCAAGACTTCGATGAACAGATGTATCCACTGCACGAGATGTATCCGATTTGCCAACGACATTGCTGGTGCTCCGGAATTGGGATCGACGGGGCGAGGAAACGATATGCAGATTGGGACATACCTCGAGAAGAACCTGGACTCCGAGATGTCTGGTAATGTGATCGATTTGTGCCCTGTTGGAGCTCTCACTTCCAAGCCATACGCTTTCAGAGCCCGCCCTTGGGAATTGAAGCATACCGAATCTGTTGACGTTCTAGACGGTCTTGGATCGAATATCCGGGTGGACTCGAGAGGATTGGAAGTGATGCGAATCTTGCCCAGACTTAACGACGATGTCAACGAGGAGTGGATTAATGACAAGACCCGATTTGCTTGTGATGGATTGAAGACCCAGAGGCTTACGATCCCTCTCATCCGCAAGGATAACAAGTTCCTCCCGGCGAGCTGGGAACAGGCTTTGGTTGAGATTGGAGCTGCGTTCAAGGATTTTGCACCACAGGGCAACGAGTTCAAGGCAATTGCCGGAGAGCTTGTTGAGGTCGAATCTATGGTCGCTCTCAAGGATTTGGCGAACAAGGTCGGATCAGAGAACCTGGCTCTGGATCAGCCATCTGGTAGCCAACCGATTGCCCACGGAATCGATGTCCGCTCCAACTACCTTTTCAACTCCAAGATCTGGGGTGTCGAGGAGGCTGATGCTATTCTAATTGTTGGCAGCAATACACGACATGAGGCCGCTGGTTTGAACGCCCGGATCAGAAAGCAATGGCTGCGATCCGATCTTGAGATTGGTGTTGTTGGCGAATCCTGGGACTCTACTTTTGAATTTGAGCACCTGGGTACCGATGCGGCTGCGCTCAAGAAAGCTCTGGCTGGACCTTTCGGCAAGAAGCTTCAAACCGCCAAGAGACCAATGATCATTGTTGGATCTGGTGTCACTGATCACGCTGATGCTAAAGCCATCTATGAGATGGTCGGTGCTTTTGTCGAGAAGAACGCTGCCAACTTCCTGACTGAGGAGTGGAACGGATACAACGTCCTACAACGTGCTGCGTCAAGAGCTGGTGCTTACGAAGTCGGATTCACTACTCCATCAGCTGCTGTTGCCCAGACCAAGCCCAAATTTGTCTGGCTCCTTGGTGCCGATGAGTTCAACGCTGCGGATATTCCCAAGGATGCCTTTGTCGTCTACCAAGGTCATCACGGTGATCGTGGCGCCCAAGTTGCCGATGTCGTTCTTCCAGGTGCCGCTTACACCGAGAAGTCCGGTACCTACGTCAACACCGAAGGCCGTGTACAGATGACTCGTGCTGCCACTTCATTACCCGGTGCCGCCCGAACCGACTGGAAGATTATTCGAGCTGCCAGTGAGTTCATGGGCGCAGCACTTCCATACGACGATGTAGCACAGCTCCGTGACCGGATGGTCGAGATCAGTCCCGCGTTGGCAAGCTATGATATTGTCGAGCCAGTCGCCTTGAAGCAGTTGAGCAAGGTGCAATTGGTGGACCAGAACAAGGGCAGCAAGCCTACTGGTGAGCCATTAAAGAAGGTCATTGAGAACTTCTATTTCACAGACGTCATTTCCAGAAGGTACGTTATCTTATCGAGTTCGAGGTTTTGTTGCGAGCGACTACTAACTTGGGGTACAGTTCGCCTACCATGGCGAGATGTTCAGCAGCAAAGGAGCAGGGCAACCCCGAGACGAACTTTATGGCTTCGGGCTACTCGAGTGCTCATCCACATGGCCAGGTCGCTTACGGGTCGTGATCTTGTATTTGAATTAGAATTTGAATTTCCTTGCGTCTCTGCATCGGTGTTGGTTGTGTATATATGGGAGGCAGTGCAATACAAATAAATGCTAAAGACAACCCGGAGAGTGTAAACCCGTGATTCAAACATGGGCTTTTAGATCAAGAGAAGAATCCGTTTTATTCCTGTTAACTACTATACATCATCAAAACAAGGGAAGGCCTCTCCGTCAACCTTCCTTGGGATCGAGGTCCGATCCGTCCCAACGCCCGATCATGCATGCGCAGCACTCGTTCGATGCCATTCTGGGAGAATTGCTCTCCTGGAGCACGACCCATAGAATTCATGCCTTGCCGGATGTCTCCCTTCTCGTACTTTTCATCCTTCACCAGGCCCTTCAAATTAAGCAGCCTCTTGTTCATACCGGAAGAGCAAACTTCTTTCCCTTCAACACCTTCGTGTAGTAGATCCAGAAGAAATCCGAATACAGCACCGTCTGCACGATGCCAGCCAGCACGGAGATGACGTCAAAGTGGCCCTCGGCAAAATACCGATAGATCCAGTTCGGGATGTACAGCGCCCTGTAGCTGCCCAGCGCGAAGAGGTAGTGCGTGGTGATCGTTTCCGCTTCCCCGGTTCTCTGCAGCAGGAACAGCTGCGGCAGGATGGCAACGGATTCCAGCCAGATGGAGAACGTCCACATGATTTCCGAGGGCGTGTACTTGTAGGGGAAGAGCACGGCCAGGAGGAGGGAGCCGCCGAGCAGGTACTGGACGCGGAAGGTGTCTATGTTGGGGTCGTGGGTAGGCTTGTAGGCCGTCGTCATCAGGTAAATGGTGTAGCCGGACGAGGCCAGGAAGAGCAGCTTAAAGACGGTGTTGTAGGCGCTGTCAGTGAAGGTCCAGAAGAGGTCGACGTAGCGGGTTGCGTAGACTATCAGGTAGAGAGCTTGGGATTTGAAGGAGATGCCGGAGCAGGACTGGAATGCGGTTCCGTTTTTAGTTTTTTGCTTTGCGCGAGAAGGAGATACGCCAACGCGCATTGGATCAATGGGTTTGGGTTGAAGGGAAGGGGGTACGTACGCTCGTCTGGGTCATTTTGTGCAGTAAGATTAGGATCGAAATCAGATGGGAGAGATCTCCTGCGATTGTTGTTAGCCACTTTTGTGCCCTTCTGACGGCCGAATCAACCGGCCACTTACCCAGTACCCGGAAAAGATTCATGCTGGATGGTTGAGCGCCTCTGGGGGTCTATCTGCGTATAGCTTTAATGCAGGTTAGGAAACGAGGGTCTGCTCCGTCTCAGCAGCAGGTTGATGTCCGCGTCAATGGATGGCGGCGCAATGAGGCTTCCGCTGGATGAGGACAGCTAAGGTGGATTTCATGGGTGGGCGCTTGGCGCGGCTGACAGTCTTGGCAGTCTAAAATTGGGGCTGCCTTAGACGCGATAGTGTAAGGGTGGCAAGACTTGAGACTCGACGCTGGTGGCGATTACGAACCCGTCGAGGAGCCTGGTCTGGAAACTTCTATATAGATAGGTAATCACAGATTGGAACAGGAATTTTGTATATGAATAAATACATATTCTCCTTGCAACATCCTTCTTCAAATCGCTTCGTCGTGCCAAAATGGCGACAGATACCCACGACATGTCTTCTACTGACAACCAGGAGCTAGTATCCATCACTTTCATATACCATGGAGTGTCGCATACATACTCCTTCCCCTCGGACGCCACAATCCTCGACCTCTCCGACGAAATCGCGGACGAGCTCTCAATACCCGCCTCCAACCAAAAACTCATGGTCGCCAAACTCGGCCTGTTGAAACCGCCGTTCAAAGACCCGGCGCTCTTGCTCTCCACCGTCGCAGACAAGAAGATCAATCTGCTAGGTAGCACCATCGCAGAAGCATCCTCCATATCGCAAGCCCAAGAGGAGGCCTCACGAAGAGTCAACAGACGAGGCGCGAGACCAGCGCAGAAGGTCAAGGCATACAAGACTCATGACTGGAAGAGAGAGAAAGAAGAGAGCCAGTACACATTCTTGACGCTGCGGCCATTACCGTACCTGCCGAACCCGGATAAGTCGCACACGTTTCTGCAGCGCCTGAAGGATGATGTGGGAATCAAGGCATCGATGCGCAAGCACAAGTTTACCGTGCCGCTTCTCACGGAGATGAATCCCATCGAGCACACGGAATCAAACCACGAAGGCACTACACGCACCCTCGGTCTGAATCGAAATGCTGGAGAAGTTATCGAGCTGCGTCTGCGAACGGATGCGTATGACGGATACAGAGACTACAACACGATCCGCAAGACGCTTTGCCACGAGTTGGCGCATAACGTGCACGGTAACCATGACCGCGCTTTCTGGGACCTGTGCAGGCAGATTGAGAAAGAGGTCTATGCGGCGGATTATCACAAGAGTGGACACACGATTGGAGACTCTTACGGGGGCGCTTATGACGACGAGGAAGAGGTTGATGATCACGGAGCGTGGACGGGAGGAGAGTTTGTGCTTGGAGCGAGCCCGGGTGTGAATGCGGAGAGCAGTGGGCAGAATCCTTTGCATGCGATGAGTAGAAGAGAGGTTTTAGCGAAGGCGGCAGAGGAGAGGATGAGGAGGCTGAGGGAGCAGCAGGGAGGTGAGAATTCTGGGTGATGATGGGAATTTGCATACTGAGCGTTGGCGTTCCGGGCTCGACAGACGAGCGTTGCACAATTTTTCCACTGAATCCTACATTTCTCCATGAACATATGCATCCACTACGCAAGTGCTGTCAACGATTTGTTCCATTACTTGAGCTGGTAGTGTATAATCATTAGTCTTCGCTTAATTGACCTCAAACGTCGGCAGGAGTCGACGATGAGTTGATTTCGGAGAATCAAGATGGTTGGGGATTTCCTCGCAATTTTGCTTTTTGAATTCCATTCATCCTCTTTTGCCTACATTTGAGGGGGTTTCCAAGTCCAAGTTTGAGTTGTCATGCTGCCCAAAGCGTGGCTCTTGTTATGCATCTTCTTTCGGGTCTGTTAAACGGCATCTGGTCTCTGCTGGAGTCCTTATCCTTGGGGCGTGAGGTACGAGTGCCCGGTGGTCCAGAAGAAGATGTGCCCGGATGCGGCGATGGATGTGGAGTCGTATTGGTGAGAAAAGAGCGACGGGTCTTCGGCATCGTCAACTTGCAAATGGCAGTCTGTCTGGTGGTGTGCTGTGGTCAGGCAGGCCATCGCGTTGTTTAGGAAAGGGTGGGCCAGGAACATACACTGTTTCGTAGTAGAGGAAGCGAGGGGGGAACTTTACAAGCTTAGTCGAATAGGGCTCAGGTCCGTTCAGATCATCCTGGCGGAGGGAAACGGGTGAGCTTTTCGCGATGAACTGGAGCGAGATTCTCTCCGAGAAGAGCGAGATGTTCCAAACTCGATGAGTTTAAGGAAGCTTGTTATATCAGCAGTGATCCGATCCATGTCTTGATCCCGGTGTTGGCTCTCCCCCAACTCCCCTTCGACGTGTTAAATTTTTTGATTTTTCAAATTTTCAATGTTTCAATTCTTCAATTTTTCAGTGTTTCAATTTGCCAATTTTTCAATTTTTCAATTTTGAGGAATGGGCGCTAGCTGATATGCAAGGGCGGTCGTGTTTGTTTACGGACGAAAACCTCCGTATCGCGGTTGAGGGGGAGATCCATACCTAGATACCTACTACCGGTACCAGTACCTGACTTAGCGACGGAACCCCTTGGTTTAAGCGAAGTGCATTAATCAAGGTCTCGCCTTTTTTTTCCGCCCTGAAAATCTCAACATACTCCGTACTTGACGAAACATGTGGAATCGATATGATGTGATATATACATCTTATTTTAATTCACTGCAAGATCCTGAGAGTGGCAATGGTCTTGGTCCCACCGGAGAGTGCATAGGTACTAGATGCACACTTGTGATATAGGTGCCCCTCTACACTATATATAATCTTTGATGGCTAGCATAGGAATTCTGAGACCTACTAGTCCGAAGGGAATTGTAGGCCTGAGAGAAAAAAGAACTGTGCTAATTGATACCTCTACTACTTGCTGGTCTTCGTCCAAAGGAACCCTCTTTTCCTGAATACTTAAAAGGACGATGATCATAAAGTCGTAAATTCATTACAGTGCATGGCTCGTAAATCCCGTGTCCAATTGTCCTACTCATCACAGCTCGTCGTCTTCATCTTCTGTTTCTGAGCCTTCCAGAACTGGAGTTTTTGCGGTTGCAGCGGCCGGCTTACTGACAGGCTCGGGTGTGTTACTTACCTTTATCTTTTGGCTGCTCACAGCGGCCTTTACCCTGGCAGACTTTCTCGTTGTAGGTGGGAAAGGTTCGTCGTCTTCATCCTCCGATGCAGTAGCTTCGTCTGCTGTTTCTGCGTCGGAATTCAGCTCTTGATCTGAATCAGGCCCTGTCTTATCATCGTCATTAACTTCGTCATCATTATTGTCATCATCATCGTCATTATCGATTTTCATTTTCACAAGGTCCTCGTCTTCTTCATCTTCCTCCTCTGCGGGCTTGGCAGCCTTACGCTTGCCTTTCCGGGATGCTCCAGCAGGTCGTGACCGTACAGCTAATCGTGTCTCTTCCATTTCTTTAACGGCCGCGGCATCGACCTTGGAACTCTGTAAGAGTCGCTGTTGGTCTCGGATCTTCAGCTTCTTTTCATTCAATAGCAGGGAGAATTTCTGCAGGAGCTGTGTCTCGTTTTCGTGCTTCATTTGGGCCATCTCTGCCAGACTCTCTTCCAATTTTTTGATTTGTGCGTCTTTCTCCTCAAATTTCGCCTTCAAGCTTTGAAGATAGTTCATTAAACTGTCTTTGGCCAGAACAGCAGAGCCACACCACTCGTAGAGATCCCCGGCCGCATTTTCGTTTTCTGCGAGAGTAATGATTCCAAGTTTTTGCTGTTATTATCAGCAACGAACGACACCCAGAACAAAGACCTGGAGACATACCGTGATACCCTCAATATTCTTTTGTATGCTGATGGTCATGGATGTCGAATCAATTTTCGCTACTGCCTCAATGTCCTCTGGTGTGGGGGTAGGGTTGCCTTCGGCATCTATGCCAAGGAGAATATATAACAATACATTCTCCCATTCGTCCTGGCTGACTTTACTGGTCTTGAGCGTAGCAATCTGGTTGTGCCTTACTAAGCAGACCAGAAATGATATCAGTCTCCATTAATGCATCAGAGGCCGCGTCTAGGGCTGGCCCGCGCTGGTCGCATGTAGAAGGCCAACTTACGCTTGGCCGAGAATAAAGTACTATTCTCCGTTCCAACCAAGTTCACGTCCAACGGGTTGCTGCCGGCCGACGACACCTGGAGCAGTACGAAGGATGGGTCTTCTCCGTGGCCGGCGCGAGGGAGTCTGACCACGACCGAGCCCTGGGCTGTCATATTGGCCTCGAGAGCGGTTTCAGGGAGCATAAGGCCTCTGTTGGGTTGCGATGGTTGCAGGATTAGAAAAAAGTTCTCAGGGGTATGGCATGGACTGACTATGCGAGGACCTTTGAGGATCATAGAGTATCGACAACGAGGCTGCTACTGTTCTATGTTTGGCACAGGCAGTGGCAGCCTCGTCGGTCGAGCGCGTCAAATTGACGTGACCATGACTAAGCAGAAAAAAAAACCTCGTTGAGGCTTAGTGCCAAAAACCCGTATCCAGCCACTGCCCGCCCAGCCATCTATCTAACCGTCTGCTAATCGATACGACGACCTTCTCGATCAACCATCAACCACCAACTAGCAACCACGACGACAACGACGACATCCGCCCCATCTAGAGACCCCGCAATACTTCGCAGAATTGCACCATAAACAGGCCGACAGGTGCCCTCAGGTTACAGGACGAACATTGCGAACGCTGGAGGGATTGGAAGGGGGCATAGCCAGCAAAATTTGGCCCGGCAACAACAAACGGACACCTCACCTCACCGCGACAACGACAACGACAACCGCGAGCGCATCCCCCGCCGACCAGGAGGAACCTTGCTTAAAACGGCAACCAACGATATTTATTGCTGGAGGATCATGAATTCAGGGCCTCGATAGCTGCGCGATTGCCCCTCATCGCATCCGGAGAGCTCATAGGCAGGCAGCTCAACTGGGTCTTGCCAGCACGCCTGCCCACCTACTCAACTGCTACCTAGTTTTCGCATTGGTAGTACATATCTCGAAATGGAGTCCTTGACGTTAAGACCGCGCAAGGCGGTGGTGGAGGAACCGATGGAGAGCTGGGACGACGACGATCTGGATATTGGCGGGGACGATTTCACGTTTCGAAGCGCGTCGCTAGCGACCACTGCGACGCATCACAGGGATTCCGTGTCGTCCCGCTTGTCAACACGATCCGACTTCGATTCGAGCCTTGGAGATGAGGAGAAGCAAGTGCATGTGCCCGGAGACGACCAGACGTCAACGGACGACGCGATAGCAACAGCAAAAAGGGCAGGAATACCCATACCACAGAACGTACCGGCGTCTGCATTAATGGGTGGAACGATCAAAAGGCTCGGAGGAAAAAAAGTGAAGAAAATCACTCAGGATGATTGGGATGACGGAGATCTGGAGCTGCCGGGTGAAGGCGGGTTGACAATCAAGCGACAAGACGCATCGAATTTCCCTGACGCCCTGCGTCAAGTCAGTGCGGAATCTACGCATTCCAGCCCTGGCAAGCCGCAACAGCCTGCACCAAAGTTCAACTCGAATCCACGGCCCGATCTAAGGTCTAAGATGGCATCGTCTAACCTCATGCTCGATCGCTTCCGTGATGAGGAAGATGGCGATTTCTTTGGAGATGGAGGGGACACGATCAAGGTTTCCAAGAGTCGTTCAGCTCCCAAGCTTTTACCCCTGGTCACACCGCCTACTCCCAGAAGAAACGATGCAGCCGCAGGTGGTGACGATGATTTCGAAGGAGACTTCCAACTGCCGGCGGATAATGAACCATTGAGGCTCTCCACCCGCCGAGATATTCCAAAAACGCCGGCCAGTCTCCATGACGACACGGACGAATGGGGCGAGGGCGGAAGTCTGGGTACGAGGCATGGTGGGACGAAGAGAGACCGAACTTCGAACCGAAGCTCATCCACAACTGCTCTCAGCCCAAGCGTTGCTAGTTCGCTCACGATCGAGAGCGAGGATGAAGGATTGGATGGACTTGTGCTTCCAAGTGGCCCCCTTCATTTTGACGATATATTGAAACGACGACAGCAAGCTTATTCGCCTGATCACCCGACCAGCGAGAAGCTCTCTGCGAAGCGTGTGGAAATCAAGGAAGACTTTCTCACTGGTCTCGAGATCGGAGACGGCGATGTATTTGACTCCAAAAAACTCACGCTCAATCGGAACATCAAGATGAAAACGACTCGTCAGACAAGTCCTGCTCGTCCCAAGACTGCCGTCTCTCTAACTTTCACCAACAAACCTACACCGGCACCGACTACAAATACCTCCCGCCTGCCTCGTCCTTTAGGTGGGCATGAACGACAACCTTCAGCTCTTGAACCTGTATCGGAAAGTGGCGGGCCAATATTGCGAAGCAGCCGTAGATCTCATTCCAGATTGCGTGGACATTCGTCTCAGTCATCTATCACAAGCGTTGCTACACCAACAACGCCATCATCGGGTCAGGCGTTTCCCCCATCAACACCGAGGCGACGAGAACCGGGAGGCAAGCCATCTATCACCGCTCTTCGCAAGGAAGCAACGACGACCAATGCACAGTTGCTGAAGCTCAAGCGATCGATGCCCACGATGAGGTCCTTCCCGAATTCGCCAGCGAGGCCAATGGGACCACGCTATGAGAGACCCCCCTCCCGTACAGACTTGAGCAGAAACAATACGATGTCTCGGCCCAGAACCCCTGTCGAACGGGATCGCAGTGGTGCTGAATCAAGCATGTCTCATGCAAGAAAGCACCCAGCACCTTTCCTCCCCGCCGGCTCCTCGAGCTCCCAGTCACAGCATGTCACCATTAAAACTTCCCGTCATTTACGCAGGCATGATTCCGAGTCTTCCAACACTAGTATCGAATTTCGACCTTCATCTCGAGCGGTCTCTCGATCGACTATGCGGTCTCCCAGCCCACGCAGACCGAGAGGGGCCGAGGTGCTAGCTCGGGAGGCTGCACCCAAGCGAACCTTGACAAAACCTGTGCGACGCAGGCATTTTGGCGACGGCTGTGAGTTAGATGGTTTCGATGACCTACCGACCTCGAAAGACACGGAGCAAAAATTTGTCAAGGAACCTATCGGAAGAGGGCCTCCCAAGCTTTCAAGTCTTCGCAACAAAATACTTCAGGAGACACCACCTCTTCGAACCACGACACCAGCTCCTCTGACACCCTATTCGCCTGCAAGGACCAGGGATGAATTGCCTAGATTCGCTCGTGATACGAATGCAAGCCGGATGGCAAGGGAGCACTCGCTTGCACACCGCGTCCCGTCTGCCCAGGGAGCTCCACTTGCAACTCTTACGAATCAGTGGAAGGCAAAGGTCTCTGCGACCACTGGTCTCAGTAACGTCAATGCTCAATCGGTCAAGCCCAAGAAGATGAGGGGCCCGCCTCAAAAGCCCCAGCTTATCAAGCCGCTGGGAAATTCCAACAACCCCAAATGTAAGTTACTCCTCTTACAGGTTCTTAGAAATCAGTCACTAACAGTTGATAGCTGTCAAAGGGATGTACTACAACCCTTATACATACCGATGGGAAGGAAACGAGAATGAGCTTACGCCATTCGATATCCCAGCTCCTTCGCCCTCTGCCGCTTCTATTCCGTCGCACATCGCCCGAGAGAAGGAGCAGCAAATGTATCGTGAAAAGGAAAACGCCACTCCCCGCCCTGCTCTTATCCAGAATGTCAACTCGTGCCAAAATGTTCAAGTTGTTGGCGGTATGGTCTTTGATCCACAGCGCATGTGCTGGCTCAAGATGCCTAGCCAAAAACAAAATTCCAAGAGCGAGGGAGGCGATACGATGGATGGTTTTGACGCCTTGGACGACGAAGAAGATGTATTCAAGGATGTTCCAGACCTCGAAGATAATCCCACGAACGAGGCCAGCGTAGCTGGCGGTAGGAAGAGCGACGGTGCAAGTACACTTAAAGACGAATGGCTCGTCGGCGAAGAATTCGATGTCGGGCCCGAGTTTGTGAGACGACAACGAGAAGAGGAGGAGAGATGGCGGCGAAAGTGTGAGAAATGGGTCGGTGCCTCTCTCGACAGGGGCACTGACAACTGGCGGTGGAGCATCAGAGATGTCGTCAACTAGACCTCGCCCGAACGCCCAAAAGCATTTCTGGGTGGATTGTACATTTTTGGTATTTTTGGAATAAGCGCTGCAAGAAAAAACGGAGCTATTAGGTGCCTTGCATTCTTGCTATTACTCTTAATGGCTTGCGCTGCATCGAAGGATGGCATGGGGTAGCTCAGCGGGTCCTTTGGGATAGATGATATGACTTGGTATGAACTTAATGACGGTCGCTATTGGGAATTCGCTTCTTGTACGTCTTTTGAAGTGTGGCCCGGGTTCCTGATTTTGGATGTGTCTGCTGTAAGACGGCACGGAATGGCTGGCGGAAGATGCAAAACTGTTCTTACTGAGCTTGAAGTCAACGAAATGCACACATAGCATCATACTCTCGAGTTTCCTTGCTCAAGGAGAGGATATGCAAACTGGGTGGCAGTACCACGTCGATGGAGATGATTCTTCCTCTGTATCAAGGTCAACCCATCCATGGGGAGAAGGAAAGGAGTATTCTATGTGGCTCTAGTCACGTGTAGGGGTGGGTGGGTGGTGTACGCATGGCTTTAGAAGCCGAGAGCTATTGGCTTTCTACATCTTGCGAGATATCGAGTCTCGGCCGCCCTCTCCGCTCCCTCTTCCTCCGACTTGCTCTTTCAACCCAGCCAGCCCAGCCCAGCCAGCACTTCTCGCTCCCAGTCTAGTCCAGCTTCGATCGACCTCACCAACGGGTCTCAAGTCAATCAATCAATCCGACGCGACGGCCTCAACCTCGGCCTCGTCCTCCGCCTCATCATGGCGACGCAACCACAAAGTCTGCCTGTGGCGGTTGCGCGTAATATCGCGGCGCTCATTCCCGAAGGAGAGGTGAAAAAGCGTGTAGTAAGTCTTCCCCTCTGCTATGGCCTTAAGGAGTCGAGTATGTATGTATCCATGTATCTCTATATCTATGCTAACGGTGAACCTCAGCCCGCGGATTTGTCCGCGGCAACGCTGGCTCTCGAGAAGCTCCAAGGTACCGACCTCGCCCCAGGCCTCAAGCCCCCCACTGTACAGACCAAGCTCTGGCGCTCCGTCCAAGATCATGGACAGGGAAGCGTGGACTTGCGGACACAGCAAATGCGAAGACGCGGAGCAGCAGACAGAGGACCCGCGCTGTACACTTCCAAGGCTTTCGAGAGGAGAGGTCTGCTTACGGACATCACCCAGTCCGGCTCATGCCTACAATACGCATGCGACTTAATCATTCCAAACCCCGGTCGCTGACTTCAACCGATCTGTGCTCCAGACCACCCAAGAGCAAGCGCCGAGCCGAGCTCTGGCAGCGCGCTTCCCAAACGGACAACTTTTCAAAAGTCTATCATATCATTACGGGAGAGTGACCGCTCTGGTTTTAGTGGGCTTTCGGACCGTCAAGCGATTCGAGGTCGACGGTTGTCGAATGGTGTCGAAGTGG